ATTATATGGTCATTAGTAGCAAAGTTTCTAGAACCAGAAAGAATTGGCTGCAAATTTTTAGTTCCTCTATTGAAAAGCTCTTTATCCTTTGGCATTTTATTTAATCTGAGCCTCACCTTTCAAGCTGTAAAAAGGGACAGTAATAGTTCCTACCTTTTCATATTTGGTAGAATTAAATGGTATGTGAAAATTTCTTAACAGTACTTGATATATAGTAAGTTCCATATAGTGACTTGGAAATCACTATTAAATCAAAAACAGTTAGATAATTTAATATTACTAATAATCACACCCTTCCTACTATAAACTTTCATAATGCTGGGGTATTCTATATGGTGCACTGTGATAAACCAATTATTTAAAGTTCTTACCCAAAAAACTTGTCTTATAGTTGCATAAGACAATACCTCCAAAATGTGTAACCTTATTCATTAAAACTGCTATCTAAATAATAAGTTTCCTCCCAATTATTGAATCTTTTTCATCTTTATCAACTCTTCTCAATTGTTTTTATAGATGAACTTGAAGTCATTATATCAAGTTGCTATACTGATTCTTTCATATTTTGTATTCAAATGAAATTAGCATGTAAAATTACTTCATAAAACTATGCATATTTATGTCATTGAAGCAACCCATTAGAAATTATGTGTCATTTTTCAATACGTGACTGGGTTTTTATTTCTAGTTCTCTTTAGGATAAGACTACATAACTATATATTTATTAGGTTTATCATTATATTGAGCAATGAGTGAAGGGATTATAAAGCTTTAAACTTCAAATGCTGACTTCCTACCCCCATGTGATAATGATATTTAGAAGATGGGGGACTTTGGGAATTGATTGGGTCAGGAGGTTGAAGCCCTCATACGGGATGAGTGAACTCGACTGAGAGATACAGGTGATGACCTCTTCCGTCTCTCTGCCACATGAGAACACAGCAAGAATATGGCCATTGTAATCTATGAAGAAAGCTGCAATCAGACATAAGATCTGCCAATGCCTTGATTCCAGACTGCCACCTTGTACCGCTATAAGAAATAAGTGTGTACTGTTTATGTAATGTAAGCTATGGTATTTGTCATAGTTACCTAAACTAAGACTTTTGGTATGGTGAATAGATCATTTTTGCAATTTTTTAATTCTTATTGTTTCTTTACCATATACATTTAAAAAAATTGCACCCAATGTAATAGTAAGAAAATGCACACAAAGTCACATTTCATTTTCTGTACCTTCAAGTACTTCAATAGAGTAATTTTTTAAGGCAGTTGATATTAATATCCTATTGAAAAAGTACTGTCTTATTTAATTATATCACGATCACGATCATCCTGTTGTTCGTCAATTTCCTCGAGCAGGCACAGTAACATCTCCTTCTTCCTAGCCCTGAGATTTTAAATTAGCCATTTCAATGCTCTTTCAGGATTAGGAGAATGAGACCCATCATTGTTACTGGTGTTTGGCATATTGAGTATGACATGGGAAGTTTGCCAGACTCTGCCATGTGGGCAGGATACTTTTGATAGCCTGCCAGGTTCTCCAAAGGAAAAATAAGATAATAAGATGTCGCACGACCGCAAATGTGGCCGCACGCTTCTGGGAGCTGGGCTCCATAGTCTCTGCGTCTTGGCTGTTGATGGGACCAACCTGGCGCTGGCGGCAGCTAGTGGGCGCTGGCGGCAGCTTCCAGTAGAGCAGCCTACCTACTGGAAGATGGGGGGTCTGGGTGGAGAAGGCCCAGTCCCAATCCGAGTAGGTTTGGAAACCTCAGCCCCAGAACCCACATGCCTGGGTTCCTCTGCCAGTTCTTTCATGCATGAGGCCTGTCAGGACGTGTGGAGAGTGGTCCCTGCATGGCTGTGGCTGTTTCCAGAGGTCCTCAGCTATATATACATATATATATATAGCACTGTAGCACTGTCCTCGCATTGTTTGTCGATTTGCTCAAGCAGGCCCAGTAATGTCTCCATCATGAAACTTGTTTTTACTGTGTTTGGCATACTGAATATGCCATGGGTCACTTGCCAGACTTGCCGTGCAGGCGAGATACTCTCGATATATATATATATAATATATATATATATATTATATATATATATATTTCAGCAGGCTGGAACAATAGCACAGCGGGTAAGGGGTTTGCCTTGCACACAGCCGACCCAGGTTCAATTCCTCTGCCCCTCCTGGAGAGCCCAGCAAGCTACTGAGAGTATCTTGCCCTTGCAGCAAAACCTGGCAAGCTAGCCATGACAAATTCAATATGCCAAAAACAGTAACAGCAAGGTCTCACAATTTGTTGTGAGACATTACTGTTGCCTGCTGGAGCAAATTGATGAACAACGGGAGGACAGTGACAGTGACATGCTATACAATATTGCACTCAACATGACATATAAAAGAGTTTATTCTATTGAGAGGATCCAGTCTATCTAAATACAATAGCTTCTTTTCTAAAAAAATTGGAGAGCAAAAGAAACAGTATTTTTTTTTCTGCTGTTTGGGTCACACCCAGCGATGCTCAGGGGTTACTCCTGGCTCTGCACTCAGGAATTACTCCTGACAGTGCTTGGGGGACTATAATGGGATGCCAGGGATTGAACTTGGGTCAGCAGCATGCAAGGCAAATGACCTACTTGCTGTACTATGGTTCCAGCCCCAGAAATAGTATTCTTTAAAAGAAGTCCATCCAATCAAAAAAGAACTTCGTGGTGGTGGAAAATGGGCACTGGTGGAGGGATGGGTATTTGATCGTTTTATAATTGAAATCCAAGCACAAAAATTTGTAAGTCTACAACTGTACCTCATGGTGTTTCACTAATAAAAATTTAAAAAAAATAAAAGAACTTCGGCAAAGAACCTTTAAATGGAATTGGTGCCCTCTGAAGTTCTCCTTCAACTATGCAGATCTCATTGATACAAGCCAACATATTAATCTCTTCCCTAAAGGTCATACTACTTGGGTGTTAAAGGGGAAACAAATCGATTCTTTCTCTAAATGTGACTCTTTGCACACTACTATACAGTTAGCTTTAACAATACCTAATGTATAAGGAGAGAAACTGTTTGGCTGTCCTCCACCCCAGGACCAAAGAAACTCTCACTTAAAAGAAATGCTCAACAGGCTAGGGTTCCACATTTAAATGAAATATCAAAGCGAAAACTCCTCAAAGATGAAAAGGAAAGGCAACAAAGCCTAAGTGTCACATTTAAAGGAATTTATTTATATGACAGATCTGCCCAGCACTGTCCTCCCAGGCCAGAGCTATCAGAATTTTTCATGCACCCAAGACCTTTCCTACTCAGCGACTTCCTGCCTCTTTCACATTAACCTTTTCTCCAAGCAGGACCATACATGTGATCACAGTCGGCGTGCTAACAGAGCTTCATGGAGATTAATAATGAAAAGGACTTTGCACTTCTTATCACGCCAGCCGTGTCTTCCTCTTTGTGGCTCATCCAAGAACTGTGAGGGCTTCCCAGGCTTGCCAGAGAAAGGGCAGCGCCCCACACTTTTGAAATGGGGGGATTGGACAAATACAAATGAATCTTTGTCTTGGGTCTTGCTGTGTATTTAAAACCTATAAGGTGCTCACAGCATGACAGCCCTCCCAAAACCATAATAAGGGGGAAATAATTGTTTGCCTTTTTTTCTACACAGAAGAAATTTTTCAGTCATCACTTTCCTTGTTTTTTCAGCCACTAATACTTTAGATAGAAAAGCAAAAGATTAAACAGAGAAAACCCAGAGAAAGAACCTTATTTGGGCAGAAGAAAGTGAAGAATTTCTGCAAATGCTGATTACTAGATGAATTTTAAAAAAGGAAAGAAGGTGGAAGGGAGGGAGGGAAGGAGAGAGAGGGAGATGTTGCAGCAAAGGGTTCTAAAATAATTAGATGAGTGCCCACAGCTAGTTAAAGGAGTCTATACTAAGAGGGAACCAACAAGGAGCCACTTAATTTTATGTAACTGTTTGCAGGAGATGATGGTATCACTGAAATGCACTTTTCATTCATACTGTGTCCTTCTGCCATTGAAACTACTGGAGCGTGCAGATCTTGACACAAGTCTTCCCTTAGTGGGCAGTTCCTTTTTTATGAGCATTACCCTGAGAAGCAATGGAGCACTTTTCTGCCTGTGAGACTTAGCCAGACTCACTTTACAACCGCCCATAATAAAATGGAGGCAGTTCAAGATCATGCAATTAGTTGAGAGTTTACAGACAGTGTCTGCTCTCCCCTCTGCCTCAGAATTAAGGGATGGGGTTCAGAGATGCTGAGTAGCCCCAAATCACCAGGAAGACCTATCCAACAAAGATAAATAAAACCCACTCATCCCACCTAAACTCCATTGCTAATACTTCTGGTCTGTCAGGCTTAGCTTATCATTTGCATCACAGTGTTTTAAAGCCATAGTGGTGAATATCTTCCAAAATTGACTTGGCAAATCCAACAGAGAAAGGCTGCCTTTTCTGCCCATCACTCCTTTTTTTAAAAAATCAGAAAAAAATAAAAAGAAATTGGATTTAAATCATACATTTTATCCTATTGAAAACTTAATTTGATTACTGTTCAGGTAATTTTTATGTATGGACCATCTCTTTCTTTAAAAGTATATATTTATTTCTTATTTCTAGTGGGTAGGGTGTTAGCCTTGCATGCGGCTGACCTGGATTTGATTCCTCTGTCCCTCTCGGAGAGCCAGGCAAGCTACCAAGAGTATCCGGCCCACACGGCAGAGCCTGGCAAGCTACCCGTGGCATATTTGATATGCCAAAAACAATAACAACAAGTCTCACAATGGAGATGTTACTGGTGCCCGCTCGAACAAATCGATAAACAACAAGACACCAGTGCTACAGCAGTGCTACAGTGCTATATCAACGTAAGGTCTCTAAATAAAATCCTTTTATGCAAGGTCAGATATGGAGCTCGCTGTCTCTGGACCACTCCTCAACTCCGGGTTAGGATACAGGTGAAAGGAGAAAGGTGACACTTACATTGCCGCTCATCACTCCTGTCCCCACATTGATCTGTGAAGTCACATACATTGTCAGGAGGCAAGGAGACCCCATTGTTACACAGAAAGCCTTCAGTTGCTGGCTGGGCCCGGAGAGAGATGAAAATGCAAGAAATCCAAAGGAAACCCCAAACTTCCATTTTTGGCAATGCCAACATTCTGGACAACAGAAGAGCATTACAGATCAGGCCATTGTAATTGGAGAGTCCAAAATCAGACGCATTCTTTACAGTTTCTCTTTTCTCTGATTTCTAGTCTTGCCTCTTATGACGGGACACTCCTAGTAATGATCTGCAAACTAGCCAATGACTCCCAAGGCAGAGCCTTTATTTCTTCGGAGGAGTGTCCTTGAGAAATATTTAACTCGAGCAACTCTTTCAGTCTAAGTGAATGTGGATGTTTATTACACTGCATATACCATGTATAAACAGTGGAAGCCTTTATGACTGTGCTATATCCTGGAAGAAAAAAAAAGAAAAAATAAAAACCAGGGGCAGGTTTAGCAATAGGGAGGGACAGGGAACTGCAATAGTTAGAAGTCACATATCAATTTCAGTATGAAATCCTGTGATTACTTTATCCTATTCATGATTCACGGCAGAGCCTGGCAAGCTCCCTGTGGCATATTCAATATGGCAAAAAACAGTAACAACAAGTCTCACAATGGAGATGTTACTGGTGCCCACTCAAGCAAATCGATGAACAACAGGAGGACAGTGGACAGTGGATTCATGTGAACTAGAACAGTCTCATGATTACCAAGTCTTTTTGTTAGGTTAAACTATTAAAATTTCCCTGAGAAGAAAATGTTTAGCCTCAGCAGTTCAAACAAAACTTGTCGTTGTTTATTTAGATCAATTAAGAGCCATGGCATCTTTTTAATTCAAGACCATTGTTTCCAAATCATTTAATATGGACCATTGAATGTTAAAGGATATAGATCAGAAAATACAGTAGGTTGGTGGCAAGAATTAGAATGATTTCTGGATGGTATATTAAAGATCTTTCCCAGCTGCCTTTTCTGAATTCTGAAATATAACTACAAGACAAAAAGCTATCCTGAGACTAAACAAAGTAACTGAAAAATGCATAAAGAAAGGGATCCTTAGGACAAAGAATATACCTGCACATTTAAAAAATATGAAGGTGAGAATGACAACTATAACAAGCAACAAAAATTCAGGTTACTCTAGTAAGAAGACCCAACATAAATACTTGCAAACGTACATGTGTGTGTTTAGTGTAGGCATTTAGAACTCTGCTGGAAATACACCATTTTCCCCTATCATAGCAGTGTATATAATCTACCATTTCACTGCTCTGTGATATATTCCAATTTCAAAAAAACATCTTATCTCTCTATACTTTAAATGGATATGAATACCTTGTCTGCTTCTCTTGATTTACTAGTCTCTTAGATGTTTATGTTATTTTTATTGTTTCACATTGTCCCTTCTCTGTGTTCAGATTATATTTTTCCCTAGGCTTTCTCTTGACTTAGGCTTTTAAGTGTTCTTTGTTCAGCAGAGTCTCCCAAATATGTATTTGAAGTCCTGCTCATGCGCTCAACATGATATCACTCAATATGATATGTACTCAAACATGCATATCAGACACACACATACACACACAGCCTATTTCAATCAGGATTTTATAAGATGCCTAAATCCATTTTCCTTTCCCCATACAACCTTGGATCCTACTGTTCAAACCAGGACCTAAATGTTGTTTCTGGACTATTCTCTTCTACCTATCAATCCTCATATCCTGTGCATTCATGATTTCAGCAAGATTCCATCCAGTCTCAACACAGGTGTCTCTGCTACCCACATTTTCTTTTCTGTTGCTCTGGCACTCTGAGGTCACAGGACTGGCTAGGGAACTGGCCATCAGCCCACCTCACTTCACCCTTTGTACTGTAGTCAGGGAGAGGAATGGCTCATGAGGGAGGGTGAGTACTAGGAGCCACAAGAAAAAACATGCACTCCAAGAGCCTCTGCAGCAAGAAGACTCAATTTATTGCAAGCAGGATCAGGTTTATATACTTCAAAAAACAGGAAACAAACTTTTTGTGAGAGTGACCAGCACACACTTGCAAAAAGGCTTAGTAAGATGTTATGGTTTGTCATTCCTTCTTGGATGGGGTTCTGTTTGCTCACTCAATCCCTGGCACCACCGAGGTGACTGGATATTACAGCTGGCTGCAGAATGGGAGAAGGGAAGGGAGAGAGGGGCCACTGCTGGGAAATCCAAAGGGGAAGCTAGGGAATGGCTGCCTACCACTTACCTTGTTCAGGCCAAGTGTCGGGGGTTCCATCCTAACTCCCAGTTGCTCCCTAATTGTTCCTTGCAATGTCCCACACTTGTTCTTTCTTCCAGCTGACTGAACACGTGGAAGCACAAATGCACTCCCACATACTTCCCTCTGGAATCAGTGCTCCGTGTTCCTTGGCATAGTTTACAAACACAGCTACCTTCTGGGCCCTTGCTTGTCACACCCTGCTTTCTGTTTCCAGTCACAGCAGTGCTACATTCACGTGCTCATTCTGTCTGAATATGCTTTCTCTTCATTCCAGATCTGAGATCCTTTCCTTACCCTATCCCAGTCCCAGGTTATAAAGATGCACAATTCGAAAATGCCATTTCTTGAAAGATACACGACTGTGGCCAGTGATGCATTTCTAATTCTTGTGTTTTTATAAAAGCCTCTTTGTAGTTTGAAGTGATACGTTTGGATTACATTGGCAATGTATTCTACCATTCCCCCATACTAAATCAAGGACGGCATTCATCAAGACTCATCTCAGGTTTTTCTCTTGGATAAAGAACGGAAGAGGAGGTGAAGACAGTGAGTGAGAGGGAGATATAAGAGGATGGAGAAGTGAAACAGTGCCAAGAAGCATGCAAACATAGAAACATTTCAATTTTATATCCTGATTCTGAATTCAGGGTCCATAACATTTTATATGTTCATTGTTTTCTATTTAGAAAAAGTACTCCTGTATTTTGTTGCAGTATAGCTGTTTACCAACTAGTTTTTACCAGGAAACTCCTTCATTAACTGTTACTGCCTACTAAAAATTACATTATACTGTTTCAAATGCAATTCATCATTTAGATGAGATACAAATTGGAAAGGGGGAACCCAAAGAAAATCAGTTCAAATTTAAAGTTTTTCCAAAAGACAAAGTTAGTTTTAACAAATAGTACTTTTCAATATTTTCTCTGAATGAACCAACGGAGAAGACTGTTATTGGTACCTACCAAGTATTGTCTGTATTGTTTATTAGGGAAGGGAGAAAGCAATACGGATCTCAATGCTCTGTGACCAAGTTGAATGTTCATTCACATGGTCTTATTGTATCCAATACACCCTCTTGCATCATTGCCTGTGCACACATTATAAATTATTATTCAGTTGTCCAAGATCTCTGGATTATTAAATTATAGAGTTTGGTTAGAAACTCAAGATAGGAAAAATAATCAAAACTGAACTATGTTGTCAATAATATTCATGAGGCAGTATAAAAGTCATTGTATGAAACGTTCAAAAGGCATAACGTTCCAAAATTACCAAGCAAACTCATTTAGAGCTAACACATTGTTTAACTTTTAAAAATGACTGAGTATTTACTTTATTCTAGAAATAAAAAAGGCAGTTACAAAAAGATCAAAGACAGGCAATGAAAAATAAAGCAATATATTAGGCTTAAAACTAACAAACTGGGAAAGGTGGTAAAACATTTACAAAATATATGCACATATTACTTCTAGTTTTGGCAATAGCAGGTTGCATTTTCTATTAAGAAATAAGTCAGAGGGAACAGAGAGAGAGTAAAGTGATAAGACACTTGCTTTATGGTCTCCTGAGTGCCAGCAGAAGTTGCCCCAAGCACAGAGTCAGGTGTAACTCCTGAGCACTACCAATATGACCATAGGATAAATAAATAAATAATCCAGAACCAAAGAGAAGGCTCAAAGAGCTGGAGTGCATACACTGCAAATGGGAGTCCTGAGTTCAAATTCCAACACAATATAGTCCCCCTGCATGGCGGGGAGTGATCGCAAGCACCATATCCAGAGTTTCCCTGAGTATCACGAGGTATGTCCCCAAACAGCAAACAAAAAAAATACTCACTGTATCTCCTGTGTCACTGTCATCTCTTTGTACATTTAAATCAGCGGGCACCAATAACATCTCCATTTGTTCCAGCCCTGATATTTTAGCAGCCTCTCCTTACTCGTCCTTCCCAATGCTGCCATATTGGAAGCTCTTTCAGGGTCAGGGGAATGAGACCTGTTATTGTTACTGTTTTTGGCATATTGAATACGCCACGAGTAGTTTGCCAGGCTCTGTCATAAGGGCAGGATACTCTTGGTAGCTTTCCGGGCTCATATATATATGAGCATTTCTAATTCTTGTCTTAGAAGAATTAGACCTCATGGTCAGTGAAGGAGCTGGCCTGTGTCTCTGCCCCGTGCCATCGAGAAGGGCAGATATGAGCTGGCAGTCAGCACTCACAAACAAAAAAATAATAAATTAAATAAAAATAAGTTAACTCTCCAACTTCAAAAATGCTAGCTATCGAAGTAGTATGATAAAATGTTTTTAAAGATATGAGTAAGTTCTAATTTTGCAACAAACAAAGCAAATTCTATTAGTTAAAACAAAGAGAGGAAGTGACAACACAAATTTTGAAATGAAAACTTTCCAGGAATGAAAATATTCACAAACAGTATGAATCAGGGTGAAGGATAAATTTTCAAAAATACATACCCAGCGGACTGGAGTGATAATACAGTTGGAAGGTACTTGCTTTGCATGTAGCCAACTCAGGTGTTATCCCTGGCACTTTTTTTGTCCTCCATGCTCTGCCAGCAATGATCCCTGAGCACAGAGCCAGAAGTAACACCTGAGTACTGCCAGGTGTTGCCCCAAAACCAAAGAACAGCTAGACAATTTATAATTATCTGAAAATTTCAAAGAAAAGTGAAATTTTGAAAATCAATTCCAAAGATGAAACATAATATCTATAATAAATATTATTTAGCCTGACAGTAAATTTCTAAATAGCAACAGTATCAAACAAGACAATAGGGAATACAGCAAACAAGAAAATGAAATGATGTTTTCATATCGATAGATAAATATTAACATTAACATAAATTTGATAGAACCTAAAAATGTATTAAGGATAGCTATCAAATTATGAAATTCTGAGATGACTAAACACTGACCAGTTATTTTCAATAGACCCTGATAAATTAATATATTTCAAATTCTTTACTCAACATGAACACAGGAAAATGTTAGTTCAGATAACTAGCTTCAATATATTTCAAAGATTTAACTGCAATGCAAAGCTCCTTCTCTGATGGCAAAGGTAGCCAGTCAAAAGTAGAACATAAAAAACATTTTAAAGGGAATAATTTTTAAAATACATATGTAAGTGATAAAATAGTGGAAACAGATGCCCAGAGAGAATGAGCCACCTGTTCCTAGAATTTACTTGACACTCGGCACCTGATCAATCCTGGTCTTGTATATGCTGCTTCCACTGACAATATGTTGCTTGGAACACAAACTTATGGCTTGTTGAATAATATTACATTTGCTTTATTTTTAGCAGCTCAAGTTGCACAGTCATTGGTGTCTTATACTCAGGGAGTTAGTCTTACTCCGGACCCAATAGCTATTTAATAAGAGGAGAATAGATGTCTGCTTGTTAGACTGGAAAATGATAGGCACCTATAATGTGATTTTCTACAGAGCTGGACATGGCCTCATCTTTCATAAACCCTTACACTGCAGCTTTCAAACTCAAGAACTTTACTGTGTTTTAGATACTGCATGACCTTTGGTATTCACCTTGCCTCAAATTTCAAACAGGTGGCTCCACCAAATTGTCTAAAAATCTTTCTCAGCAGCATGAGGCAAAGTACAGCAAGCTGTCTCTCACTTGAGGATTAACTTCATTCCCAGATATGTCATGAGGATGTCAGAACTCTTTCTGCCCTTTGGGTTTATCACCCAACTTCTATCAGAAAAGTGTTCCGTCAAAACAAATTGTGTTTGTATACCTTAGAATAATGTCATATCTCTGTGGATGACTATCTTGTCCTACGTATAGACCAAGCACTTTAGCCACACAAAGTCTACTTTTTCTTTCAGAGCAAATAAATTGATCTAACACACAATGGTGAAAGTATGTTTCTTCCCCTCTTTTTTGGAAAAGAGATATTTTTATAGAGTTCTTGCTTACTGGGACAAGGAAAATGGATATACCTCACACAGTGACAGCTAGAGAGAGGCTGTGTTGATTTGTGTCAGTAGTTCTTCCAACTGCATCTGGAAGAACAGCTGTTAAAGTCATGATTTAATTATAAGGCCAATAATTCTCCATTATTTTCCAAAACCCATCTACCTTCTGCAAAGAGGCAGGTCAAATTAAGAGATGCCAGGAATTAGTGCCAATGGTAATGTAGGTCTCTGCAATTCTTTCAAAGGTTGAGTTTTGCCCTCCCACCTTACCAATTCTCACTTATGCAAACGAGAGTAACCACTGCAAGATTTGAGTGCTAACCTTAGAAAGTCATGCTTACAATGTTGGCTGTTGGTTGGCATCTGGGAAGCCCCATTTTGGAGGCTCACACAGTGCTATCTGATGCGAACCACATATCTGATGTGGCTGTACCTGAGTTGTTCATACTAGCAAGACTGTAATTGGGGGAAGAGAGCTAGATAGAGAGCTAGGATGCTGTCAACAGTTTGATCCCAGAACCACAGGTGGATCCTGAGCAACATGTGAGGACAGTGACAGGAGTAAGCCCTGCACACTGACCCATGTGGCCCAAAAAGAATCAGAATGAAGGAAAGTTATGCTGGCCAC